AGGGAATCATAACGGCGTGTGCTTCCCTTGTGCGGTGGGAGTAACCAGTGGTGCTGGAGGGGGATTTCGGCCTTAATTGGGTAGTGCCCTCCCTTCTTCCAGCTACCCAACGGGCAGTCCGTCCAAGGGGCAGACCTTTTGGCCTTGCCTCCTGCAGTGGATTCCTTAGTAAGGACAAAATCGATTTGCGACTCCACGCCACCTTGAGCAAAGGTGGCAATGTTGTCACAGTGCCAGGTATTAAGGGCCACCAATCGCAACCTTAGCAGCAGATTGGACAAGTGGGATTCGTCAGGACGATCCTCCGTGGGCTGCTTCACGTGTGTACCCACCAATGGAGGACACGAGCGCAGGGAGGTATTAAAGTCGCCTGCCACGACTAGAGAATCCCGCTTGGGCACTGCTTGACCACCTTAGACATGACTGATAGTACATGAGCACGGTCGTCCTTGTTAGACTGGATGGACTTGGCCGAGGACCAAGCATGTTGATACACAGCCACAATGACCAGCCTAGTGCCTGCCATGTCTGCACGAGCTTCAAGGACCCTGCCTGGACTCCACTCCTTCCAGCGAAGGCTCTTGGCTGCAAACTTGGGTGAGAAGAGAATCATGACGCCATCCGCCCGGGTCGTGGATGGAGCCGCTTTCGGTTCCTGCCTAGTCTTGCGCTTCGCGCCCTGCTTCTGCTGGGTGCTACGTTTGGCAGACTCCGAGGCCGAAGAGATGCAATGCCAACCTGAAACACTGAACTCGCTAGTCTCCGTCCAGTGCGTCTCCTGCAGGATAAGGACGTCGCAGTGGTGGGAGGCTTCAGCCGCCAGCCACGTTTTTAGTTCTCCCCATTGCTGTTGACCTAGGTGCCCCGCGTTCCAAGAGACTACCCGAATGGATCTTTCTAGTCGTCCTGCCCTGCGGGAGGCTGTGCCATATGCAGGGGAGCCGTCAGTCTGTGACTGTAGCTCTCTTCTAGTGGGTGGGGGTCGTACCCCAAGCTGGTTGACCAGAGTGGGTGTCAGGACCTGCCCCGGTATGGCACGGGCCCGTCACTTCGTATGGTCCGTCTACATGCTGTCTTGAACGAATTCTTGCGAAGAGATGCAAAGTTTTGTGAGTGCACTGGTAGTTGCGCCATCCGCTACTTTCGTCAAGAGACAGAAGCCTAATGACTCCCTCCACTGCGCGGAAGTGGAAACCCTACCGCCTACCCAGTGTTGCAATGTTTTCCAGAGTCTGGGCCCAGGAATTGGGACCTGGCGGCTCAAAGCAGCTCCTGCGAGAAAAGGGAGAGGACCATGGCGTAGAGAGGAGGCGCAAACCTTTACTGTTCAGAGAAGGGCCCAGTAGGAGCCTCTAGCACAGCAGTTGCGCCCCAAGCCTGTTCGAAACCTCTCATCCAGCGCGGCCGCTTGAGCACTTGTGGCGGCTTCCTCGCTACAACAGCGTTAAGCCAGGCAGAGTCTTGAGGCAGCGTTTCCCAATTGTCCTTTGCCAGATCGCTCTGCCTTTCAGACAAATCCTTGTCAGTACACATGGCCGAGTTGAGGTGCCTGTCTGTTTCTGACAAGAGGAGGGAAGAGAAGTAGAAGTAGGTCTCAACAGGAGAAGCAAGAGACGTTATAGTCGACTTGAGGTAACCCTTCAACCGGGCCGTCAAATGGCCCAAGTCGTGGGTTGACAGAGGAGCTGCGTACCCACTCTTCGCAATCGTTTTGGAACTCGAAGGAAGATCGATTCCAGCAGCACTGGGCAGTCCGAGAAAGGTTGCTTTGAAGACGCTGAGGCCAGATTTGTTCTCGTCCAGCTGGTACGCAATTTTTCTCATACAAGGACTTGATAATGCTCCAGATGTTGCGAACAGATGATTGGGTCCAAGAGACTGCAGCCATAAGCAAAGACAAGACGTCATCTATGTTCGTCTTTCCTTCGTACATCAGGGCATGGTCCGATCCCAAGGCTGATGCAGCAGCGTCTTTGAGTTCTGACAACATGACACCATGCTCGACAGAGTCCCCGCAGCCCCTGATTCCCTGCATCAAAGAGTGCATCCAAAGAGCCTGTGAGTGCACACGTTTCCTAGTCGAGGAAAGAATAGGAGCTTTCCATAGACTCATATACGCTCGTCGGAAGACCTCCGGAAAACCATGCTCCTCAAGGACCACCTTGTCCCGTTCAGTCGACCTCGCCCTGTTCTGGCCCTCACTCCATGAGTCGCAATCCTGAAAGGTTAGTAACCAACTCGCTTGCGATCTAACACGATCTCCCAAACTCTTCCAGAAAGAGGAGCGATTTTTCTGGCCCAAGCACTGAGTCATCGCTGGATACCTCCAGCCCTCATCCCGAACTTCGCGTTCGAGATCCGAGATGACCCATTTCGCGAGTCGGCTCGGGTTGGCCGTCACACGGGTAGTCGCCGAGCGCTTGGTCGATTCCATTTTCACAGCAGTGAAAAGTTCGTACCCCACTCCGAACTTTCCTGCTGCGGCTAAAGCCTGCTCGTAAGTCAACCCTGCCCAAATAAATTTGCCATTCCGGACGGCTGCAAGAACTTCTGGTCCCATTGGCTCATCAGGGTTGTCTGGAAAATCCGATACTGGTTTGGCTAGCAAATGCCAAAAGCGCCCCCAGAGCGTGCGATCACCTTCTCGTTTGTACAAAACCTTACCTAGAAGGTCGGCCGGCATCTCGAAAGGCAGAGTAACTTGCTGCACGCCATCGCGCACTGTAGTAGGTGGCTTCCTCATCTCTGCCTGAATAACAGCTTTCACTTCCGGTTCGCACACCAAGCCTTCAGTTGATCCAGTCGACCTGATGGCCCACTCAGCGACAGTAGTCTTGTACCTATCCAAGAACGCTTGGATCTGTGCTCTGCTCTGCTTCCTCTCTTTATCGCCCATAACATGGAGCCTGAGAAGGAAATCACCAAGGTAGCGTTCTGTAGTAGGGAGCAGAGGCAAAAGTGAGCAAATCTCCATTTGACGGTAGTAGGAGAGCTTGTCTAGGATCCTCTTCAAATCCGCGATCAGTTTTGGGGACTTTCTTAGCGCTTCTTGACTTCATTGCTTCTCTTGGTCATGAGGGGGGACAGATTGTGTATCATTTCTGCCTTCATGAAGGGAATCACCTCGCGCAAACCAGGCAAATCTTTAGCCTCTTCATAAGCACCCAAAAACACCCCTTTGTACATTGTCTTGCAAGCTCCACCAAAATCGAAGAACTCGCGCTTGTTGTTCCAGGCTGTTAGCATAAGATTCTTGGCATCCGTGATGGCCGTCGCAAAAGCCTCGTCTTTCCTGCAAGGTCCTGTCCCAGTGCTAAGAGATTCTGCAACCGTGTCCAAGTGGAATGATCCTGCTGCTATGTTCATGAGGTCAACCAGCTGGTCCTGTGAAATGATGTATGCGGCTTTCTTGGGCACGGCGTCCAAGGGAGACATCATTTGTCCATATGATCTCCTCCGGTTTGTTGCTAAAGATGTTACTACTCCAGAGCTGTATTCGGTGCAGAGAAAAGTGATAGCTCCTTTCATAGCATGAATGCTTGAAGCTCCGAACATCTCGCGCGTAGCTGGTAGATCGATAATGAACTTCTGCTCCTTCTTGGTGTTCAAGCACAAGTCTTTCAGTCTAATCATTGCAGTGGCTGATTTCAAAGCAGCCATGACATGGACTGTGAAGGTCTGCATTCCTAGCGGCCCCACAGGATCAAACTGATTGAAGTTCTTGTTGGACAACTCAAACTTGTGTGTAGTCAATTCTTCGCAGGCTATCAACATCAAAGACGCTTTCGCCAGATGCATGCAGTTCGACTTCATCCAGCCCCCTGCTTGCTCTACCAGTTTCGAACCAGAGCTCACAGTGGAAGCCAGCCCCGCTAGAACGGTCTTACGAAACAAACCCCACAGACCAAGAGTCTTCCTGTGCTCCGAATCGGTGGCTTTCCTTGTCGCTGCTCTGTAAGCCAGGGCACTAACCGCTCTTGACCCAAAGAGAATTTGATCCGAGTCTTGGATCACGTCTCTGACAAAAGAGCTGGTGTAAAGCCCCAAAGCTTGCTCTTTGAGCTTTCGGGCTTGCGAAGTATAGAATTGGGGATTTCTTGACTGACATCGCTCATCCCAACTCAAGTCAGTCACCGCCGAAACTATTGCAGCCGCATTGACATACTCTTTCCATTGCATCTCTATAGCTCCAGGGTCAGGGTCCATGTTCACTGGTCTGTCCTTCGCCCATTCTGTAGGTTCAGGAACCACAAATCTGTTTTTGAATCCATTCCTGGACCAGTCTCGTTCAACTTCTTCGATCTTGTCGACAGTTGTAGGATAGTCAGAACTCTTGAGGATCCTGGCCAATAAATTCGGGCATTGCGCAGAAATGGCAACAGCTGCAAAGATCTCAGTTCCGATGCACCCGTAGATCGGCGCAACAGTTGGCACTTTAGCCGGAGACATGGTCAGCCGCAACACAGCTAACTTGTCATGAATGCTGATTTCAATCGCAATAATAATAGGGGTGATAATTAAAATGTTCCGGCTCCCAAATCCCCAAAAATCTAGAGTACTACTACTACTACTACTACTACTACTACTACTACTACTACTACTACTACTACTACTACTACTACTACTACTACTACTTGTACTACTACTACTACTACTACTACTACTACTACTACTACTACTACTACTACTACTACTACTACTACTATTATTACTATTATTACTACTATTACTGCTATTACTGCTATTACTACTATTACTACTATTACTACTATTACTACTAGTATACTAGCCCCGGACAAGGCCAGAGGTTTACTATTGCCACCCTGACCCAAAACCCTGCCCCAAGAGACCCCCGCGCAGAACAACCTCAGGGCGGGGGGGTGGGGGGTTTATTAAATAGACACCAACATTATTAGGTTAACTATACTTATAACTGCTTACAACCCCAATTAAGGTACTTATTTTACTATAACCATACTTAGTCTTACTAAGTTTCCGGCGCGCCCCCTCTTGCAGACGCGTCTGCTCGCCGGTGTCTTTGTCGGTCTGCCAGAGACGTACATGGGCAGTTCCCTGTTTAGTATCCATTTGGCTGGTTGTCAAAATTAGGGGTCCTTTGTGGGTCCTTGTTATAATACAGCACCTAATATCTAGGGTACCCAAAACGGGACCATAATTTTGACAACCACCCATTTGTAGCTACCGAAAAGAAGGCTGCACTATTCCAAAAAGGACCCTAAACGTGACCCAAATTCAGAGAACCACCCACATGAGCGCGGCTCGAAGACTCTAGGATAGGTGCATCTTCTGATGACGTAGGCTGCCTGTAAGTTAGAACACCCCCCCTGCGTGAGGCCTGCTCTAAGCTACGAGGGTTCAGCTAGGGTTGGCAAATTAGCTTTCGGGGCGTTTGCAAGGTTCACACGACTCCAAAAAATCAAGAAGCCCGCGTCCCAACCCCTTCAACGATGGAAATTGTGCACCCTTAACCCCCCAAAACTCGACTGCCGAAACTCCACTGAACCCCGCATGCAGCCCAAAGCCTGCAAACCGAAAACCCTTCAACCCTGAAGCCCTGCCCACAGGAACGCACCTTCCAAAAATGTACCCACGAATCCGCAAACGTTAAATCCTAAGTGAGAAATGCCTTCTCGAGCTCGAGGACATTTTCACGCCGAATGGCCGTGAGGAAAAACTCGACACCTCGAAGTTTACAAGCCGTGTTTGGGTTGGGGGCGAGGGGTTCCGCCTTTTGGGTCGGGTGTTTAAAGGGAACTCCAGAAAGTTGGAATATGGTTTCTTGGTAGGATACCCTATAATTTACCATAGAAGGGTTAGGATAATCATATTCCAACTTTCTGGCTTTTACCTTAGGTGTTTAGGGGTTGGGGCTTTGAAGCTCTGGGATTTCACAGTTCCGGGGTGCAATGAAGCGGCCGGAGTCATTACCGATATCATACCTTAGGACTCCCAATCATAAGTATGCTATAATATATCCCAAAACCCATTCTACCAATTTTCACGCCCATTCCAAGAATTGCGGCCCCATATATTCAGATTAGAGTTTGGGGTTTAGCAAGGCTTGCTTGAGGCATATGCTAGTCCCTATGCCCGTGTACCCCTAAACCAAACCCTGAACCAAAAGCCCTGAGCCCTAAACCCCTCAACCCTAAACCCCCAAAACCCCTAAACCCGAAAGCCCCAAAAAACCTAAACCAAAAGCCCTGAACCCCAAACTCCAAACCGGTGTCCAGGAGAAAGACCCACGCAGCGCAAGTGGCTTCCACAGGCGCCACCCCTGACTTAGATTCCTATCCTCAAACCTTAAGAAAGCCCTCCCAAACCCCTTAGAAAGTTTCGAATTCCTATAGATTCCTATCCTGAAACCTTAGGAAAGCCCTCCTAAACCCCTTAGAACCCCATCCTTAAACCAGGGCTAACTCTTACGGAACAGCAGCACATTTTTTTTTTGCATATTTTTGCCGACTTTTCGGAACTGCTTCAAGGGGTTTCGGAGCTTAGGGCCTGAGTTTCGGGTTTTTTGGGGTTTAGGGTGTTGCTTTGGGTGTGGGGGTTACTTCAAGGGTCATGGGACTTAGTGAATAACTTAAGGTTATTAAGAGGGTAGCTATATTTATAACTACTTATAATTCCAACTCAGGTATTTTATCGCCACACTTAGTCTTACTAAGTCCCATAATCCTCCAAGTAGACCCTAAACCCTAAGCCCTTCAAAGACCTTTTGGTCCCTTAAAGGGATCCTTGAGCCTCACTAAGTCATGATCCTCCATGTAATGTAGGAACCTGATTAAGAAACCCCGGGCCTATAACCCCAAAGCAGTAGGATTCATCTAAGGAACCCAATGCCTTGGCCTCCTGGGCGATGCTGTGGCAGGGATGCGCTTTCTTGCTTTTGTTCGTTGTGCTGGTCCTGCTTCGAAGACATCCTCTTCCCAGAAGAACACGGTGTCCGACAGATACCACCAAGGTATCCACTCGCCGTGTGGCGCCCTCTGCCAGATGTATCCTGTTTGCACATTGGCGTGCAGGCTCTGCTCTCCCGTTGGTTTTGCTGGCCTGCCCACCCATTCTTGCTGAGAAGGGTTCTCTTTTCTTCTACGGTGGCGCAGGCCTCGCGCAACTAGCGTCAACCACTGTCGGAATTTGCTAACTTGGCCTCCCTTGCTGGGCCCCTGACGCCCAGCTGGCTCTTGATGCTATCCAATGGGCTCGTCCAATGGGCTCGGAGCTTTACGCTCCGGCTTCCTGGGTCCCTCGCGGCGGCAGGGCCTGCAGCACTGTCGAGTTCGGCAGAGACATCAAGAGCACTTCTTGAGGCTCCGTCGGACACCACCCGAGTTTGCGTGCGCAGGGAGGGCCTTGAAAGGCAGGGCTAGCAACGGCATGACGGTCATTGCTGCTGACTCGTGGGATGTCCGAGGCCCGGACACAACATCGCGTTGTGCGTCTCCTCCCCCTCGTAGCTCGGGTCAATCCCCAAGTATCGGGTATACTCTTTGCACTCCTGACACAAGCAATGCTAGTTGGGTGAGAAGTGGTTCTTCGCTGCACATCCTCAGGTGCGGACCTCAGTATGCCTTCTGATTTCTCGAAACAGATTATCTCTGTCGCCATAGCTTCTACGAGAAGGACTGCTGACTAGGATTTGATCAATGATCAGGAGCTGCGGCCATAAGCGGCTAGGAGCAGTGGGCGTATACTTCTACATGCGTCTAGATGTACTGACCATGTCCGCTGGTAGCCTCACTCTCATCTCCTTTTGTAACCTGCGGTTTATGAGCGGGAATAGTCGCTGCCTTGCCCTTGGCATAACCGATCGAATCAGCGAGTCTTCTTGACTCGTTCGGCACCTGGTATCCCGGTTGAGGACAAGCGAATCACTTCGATAAGCCGACTTAAGACCCCATCTTGGTTGAGGACAAGCACGCCGGCCTCGTCTCTGCCTCTGTCTTCTTCGGGTTGAGGCCCAAGGTTTCTTAATCAGGTTCCTACATTAGGGTTTTACTCCAGATCCGAGTAAGGCCCCAAGCCCTAAACCATTATAGTACCCTTAAATTATTAAGGCCCTACATGGGAGTTCCCGAACATAGGGGACCCTAATATAGTACCGTAAATAGTAGGATCCTTATTATAAGGATCCCAAAATAAGGTACCCCATTTTCGGAAACTCCCAAGCCTTCATTATAGAACCTTTTCATGGGACCCTTATAGTACCCTAATAATATCCCTCTAAAGGACCCCAAAACAAGGTTAAGGCCCCTAGATTATGGGGTTCAGGGTATTTACTCCAAGCTTTATAGACCCTTTTAAAGAACCCTTAAAGGATCCCTTTAAAGGGTACCCCCCATTTTGGGAAACTCCAAGATTGGGCCTCAGGGCTTTACTCCAAATCCGAGAAAGGCACTAAACCCTAAACCCTTATACTACCCGTATAGTGCCCCTTTAAAGGGAGCCCTATTGAAACTGTTAAGGCCCTATATTAAGTCTCATGATCCTTTCAGTACAGTTTTGCCCAAATATACAATACCCTAAATAGTAGGATCCTTATTATAAGGACCCCAGAACTCCAAAATAAGGTACCCCTAATTTTCGGAAACTCCTATATTATGGGCCTCAGGGCTTTACTCCAAATCCGAGAAAGGCCCTGAACCCTAAACCCTTATACTACCCTTATAGTATCCCTTTAAAGGTAGCCCTTTTGAAACTATTAAGGCCCTACTTGTAGGATCATTGGACTTAGTAAATAAAGCTGTAAGTACCTTGATTGGGGTTATAAGCAGTTACAAGTATAGTTACCCTAATAATGACCTTAGTTACTAAGTCCCATGATCCTTTAAGTAAACCCCACACCCAAAGCAACACCCTAAACCCTAAACCCTTATAGTACCCTTATTGTATCCCTGAAAGGATCCCTTGACAGGGAGCCCTATTGAAACTATTAAGGCCCTACATTAAGTCAAATGATCCTTTAAATACAGTTTTGCCCAGATATAGTACCTGAATAGTAGGATCCTTATTATAAGGACCCCAGGACCCAAAAATAAGGTACCCCTAATTTCGGAAACTCCTACCTTATAGTATCCCTTAACGGATCCCTTTAAAGGGGGCCCTATTGAAACTATTAAGGCCCTACATTAAGTCCTATGATCCTTTAAGTACAGCTTTGCCCAGATATAGTACCTGAATAGTAGGATCCTTATTATAAGGACCCCAGGACCCCAAAATAAGGTACCCCTAATTTCGAAACTCCTACCTTATAGTATCCCTTAACGGATCCCTTTAAAGGGGGCCCTATTGAAACTATTTATAAGTACAGTTTTGCCCAGATATAACGGATCCCTATTAGGTACCCCTAATTTCGGAAACTCCTACCTTATAGTATCCCTTAACGGTCCCTTTAAATTGAAACTATTAAGGCCCTACATTAAGTCCTATGATCCTTTAAGTACAGTTTTGCCCAGATATAGTACCTGAATAGTAGGATCCTTATTATAAGGACCCCAGGACCCCAAAATAAGGTACCCCTAATTTCAGAAACTCCTACCTTATAGTATCCCTTAACGGATCCCTTTAAAGGGGGCCCTATTGAAACTATTAAGGCCCTACATTAAGTCCTATGATCCTTTAAGTACAGTTTTGCCCAGATATAGTACCCTAAATAGTAGGATCCTTTATAAGGACCCCAGGACCCCAAATAAGGTACCCCTAATTTCGGAAACTCCTACCTTATAGTATCCCTTAACGGATCCCTTTAAAGGGGGCCCTATTGAAACTATTAAGGCCCTACATTAAGTCCTATGATCCTTTAAATACAGTTTGCCCAGATATAGTACCTGAATAGTAGGATCCTTATTATAAGGACCCCAGGACCCCAAAATAAGGTACCCCTAATTTCGGAAACTCCTACCTTATAGTATCCCTTAACGGATCCCTTTAAAGGGGGCCCTATTGAAACTATTAAGGCCCTACATTAAGTCCTATGATCCTTTAAGTACAGTTTTGCCCAGATATAGTACCTGAATAGTAGGATCCTTATTATAAGGACCCCAGGACCCCAAAATAAGGTACCCCTAATTTCAGAAACTCCTACCTTATAGTATCCCTTAACGGATCCCTTTAAAGGGGGCCCTATTGAAACTATTAAGGCCCTACATTAAGTCCTATGATCCTTTAAGTACAGTTTTGCCCAGATATAGTACCTGAATAGTAGGATCCTTATTATAAGGACCCCAGGACCCCAAAATAAGGTACCCCTAATTTCGGAAACTCCTACCTTATAGTATCCCTTAACGGATCCCTTTAAAGGGGGCCCTATTGAAACTATTAAGGCCCTACATTAAGTCCTATGATCCTTTAAGTACAGTTTTGCCCAGATATAGTACCCTAAATAGTAGGATCCTTATTATAAGGACCCCAGGACCCCAAAATAAGGTACCCCTAATTTCGGAAACTCCTACCTTATAGTATCCCTTAACGGATCCCTTTAAAGGGGGCCCTATTGAAACTATTAAGGCCCCACATTATGGGCTTCAGGGCTCCAAGTCCGAGAGGCCCTCCGTCACGAACTCGCCGATCTCCTCCTGGGGCCTCAGCTTGTGCCTTGGTATCGGGCTTATAGGGTTTAGGGTTCAGGGTTTAGGGTTGGGGTTTAGGGTTCAGGGTTTAGGATTGGGGTTTAGGGTTCAGGGTTTAGGGTTGGGGTTTAGGGTTCAGGGTTTAGGATTGGGGTTTAGGGTTCAGGGTTTGGGGTTTAGGGTTGCTACCTCCTCTTCTGAACACATATAGTAGAAGAGTTTAGGGTTTAGGGCTTAGGGTTCTTAGGGTTAATAGGAGTTTAGGGAGGCGCTGGCTTAGGGTTATTAGGGTTAAATATTAGGAGTTTAGGATTTTAGGATTTTAGGGTTTAGGGTTTAGGGTATTAGGATTTTAGGGTCTGAGGGTTTTAGGATTTTAGGATTTTCGGGTTTTAGGGTTTTAGGATTGTAGGATTTTAGGTTTTTTTAAACTTGATGTGATGTTGGGTTTAGGGGGCTTTGACCCCAATGCAGAGGCCGTAACAGCGGTGATAAGCTTCAAACCCAACGCCTCAAACCTTATGGATTCATAAACCCTAATCCTTCACAGTTGGAGGCCCTCCGTGTGCTTGAGGGTAAAGAACCTCCCAGAAAAATACTTCTATAAATAAATCAGAGCCCCGCACCCGAAAAAAGGTAGCTGACAAAAAAGTTGTAGGAGGATTTGCAGCTCCATTAAGGCTTTGGAGTTAAGGCTTCATCCAGGGCTTACTTAGAGAAAACGGGGGTGGTTAGAAGTAGGGTTAAGTTAGAAGTCCCCTAATATGGGTTATAAGTATAGGCACCTTACTTATAACCCTGCTTATAACTTCGGTTGATGATCTAACCCTGCATTACCCATAATAAGGAATATACCATAATTCCCATAGTGTAGGGTCCTTAAGGTAATGCAGGATTTATATCATCAACAATAGCCATGAACCTCCAACTAAGAGTTGGGGCTTCGACTGAACAAGAACCCTCGAAAGATCCTCCACGAAGCACCCCAGACCTCGGGGTGTAAGGTTTAGGGCGCTCTTGAACCCAGGGACTACAACATGCCTTAATTAAGGAATATACCTTAAATCATATTAGGGATCCTACCATAATTCTAAGGCTAATTCCATAATTTATATACTTCTAAAGTTTATTCCTTGATGTATATGGTTTTAAGCTTTATTCCTTAAACTTACTTAATTAAAGGATATCGGAGTCTCTGGGAACCTCCCAGTCACACTCGGAAGATTCAACCCCGAAAGCTCAAAACATAAAAGCACAAGGACAATACTATAGGGGCCTTAATAAGTAGAATAGAGTTTTTTGGCCCATTCTACTATAAGTATATTCAGAAACCCCCAAAAAGTATAGGTAATTATTAAGGCCCCTATACTACTCACCGTTCCAATCTGCCCTTCACCAAAACCTTCGACACCAATTCCGCGTGCCCACCCTTTTACTTAGTGGCTGGGTCATCAGGAAAACAAACCAGCCGGTTTCATGAACACTCACATTGTTCCAAACTTGAGGCTCACGAAGCCAGCAAATACATACCTGTAGAAGATCCCATCCATTAGAAGTGAGCGATTGCGGATTCGACCGAGTGCGTTGTCTTTTTCCAGACCTCAAGATGTTTTTTCCAGACCGCGCGATCTTTTTCTTATTTGTTAGACACCCACCTTTAACAGCCTTCTGAGCCCGAAACGGCTTCATTCTTAAAGCTGGCACCCGGGTTTCTGAACCCCTAAACCCGAGACTTGCAATTTTAAGACATGGAAGATGCCCCCGACGAGTCTTCCGCCCGGCGGCTCCCCAATGCAAAAGTCCGCCGGGTAGCCCTGCAGCCTGGGCTCAGGGTTTCAGGGTTTTGGGTTCAGGGTTTGGGGATTTGGGGTTCAGGGTTTGGGGATTTGGGGTTCAGGGTTTGGGGATTTAGGGTTCAGGGTTTGGGGATTTAGGGTTCAGGGTTTGGGGATTTAGGGTTCAGGGTTTGGGGATTTAGGGTTCAGGGTTTAGGCAGGGTTAAGGTTTAGGCGAACATCTAAACTTGAGAATCCACGGGTATGTGTCTGCGTGACTTAGATGTATGAATAAACATACAAAATATATGTGTATATATGATATATACATGGCTCACTACGGGGCTGCAAGGCTTTTAAACCTCGGGCACTATAAGTTTTCCTAAGACAAGTTAGGCGAAACCTTGGTAAAACAAAACAAGATCGGACAACAACTGACAAAACAAGGCAACCCAAGACATCCCAAGACAAAGCCTGTCAAAAGCAACCAGCCAAAACCACAACTAGAAGACAATTGGCCCGAAAGCATCATCAGCGAAGAGTGTTGCGCTACGTCATAGAATCCAGTGTATAGGGTCATAGAGTCACCGAGTCAAAAGCACGGAGTCACAGAGTCGGAGTGTCACATACAGTCAAGAGTCGTACAAGTCATAGTTCACAGAGTCATCGAGAAATAGAGTCGAGTACATGTCAAGCACAAGTCATAGTTCAAAGAGTCATAGAGTCATATAGAGTCATAGAGTCACAGTGAGACAGAATCATAGAGTCATAGTGTTATAGAGTCATAGCGTCAGAGTGAAAAAGAGTCATAGAGTCATGGAGTCATCTATGTACCACGCACTTGATTCGATGTATAGTTCACTCTATGAACACTAATGTTCAGGTTTAGCGGGTTTAGGGTACAGTCCAACATGACGCAGAAGTCTTCCTTTCCTAGCTCCGGAACCTCACTATATAGACATCCCTGATTAATTACTGTGGTTTCAACGTGACTCTATGACTCTACGCATGTTCACTTTATGTCGCAGCAGTAGTAGTCGTCGTCGTAGTAGTAGTACTAGCAGTACAGGTACTAGTAGTAGTGATAGTAATGGTAGTCGTTGTAGTTGTAGTAGTAGTCGTCGTCGTCGTAGTCGCAGTTAGTAGTAGTAGCAGTAGTTGTAGTTGTTGTTGTGGTAGTAGTAGTAATAATAGTTGTAGTAGTGGTAGTGGTAGTAGTAGTATTAGTACTAGTTCGAACACTCGACAACGCCAATCTCTGTGAAGAGTTGCAAGTTTCACCTCAATGCACATCAAAAGTAATAACTTTACCTCGCGTTCGTGCGTTCGACCACGCCAATCCCTGTGAAGGGTTGCAAAATTCATCTCAATGCACATAAAAAAATACAACTTTACCTCGCGTTCGTGCGTTCGACCACGCCAATTCCTGTGAAGGGTTGTAAAATTCATCTCAATGCACATAAAAAAATGCAACTTTACCTCGCGTTCGTGCGTTCGACCACGCCAATTCCTGTGAAGGGTGGCAAAATTCATCTCAATGCACATAAAAAAAATACAACTTTACCTCGCGTTCGTGCGTTCGACCACGCCAATTCCTGTGAAGGGTTGTAAAATTCATCTCAATGCACATAAAAAATGCAACTTTACCTCGCGTTCGTGCGTTCGACCACGCCAATTCCTGTGAAGGGTTGTAAAATTCATCTCAATGCACATAGAAAATGCAACTTTACCTCGCGTTCGTGCGTTCGACCACGCCAATTCCTATGAAGGGTTGCAAAATTCATCTCAATGCACATAAAAAATGCAACTTTACCTCGCGTTCGTGCGTTCGACCACGCCAATTCCTGTAAAGGGTGGCAAAATTCATCTCAATGCACATAAAAAAAATACAACTTTACCTCGCGTTCGTGCGTTCGACCACGCCAATTCCTGTGAAGGGTTGTAAAATTCATCTCAATGCACATAAAAAATGCAACTTTACCTCGCGTTCGTGCGTTCGACCACGCCAATTCCTGTGAAGGGTTGCAAAATTCATCTCAATGCACATAAAAAAATGCAACTTTACCTCGCGTTCGTGCATTCGACCATGCCAATCCCTGTGAATGGTTGCGCGGCGCCCGCAAAATATGTAACTTTACCTCGCGTTTGAACGCCCGAGGAGGCGAATCCCTGTGAAGGGTTCACGGCGCCCGAAAAATGCGCAACTTTACCTAGCGTTTGGGCGCTCGAGGTGGCCAATCCCTGTGAATGGTTGCGCCGCGCGCCTAAAATGTATAACTTTACCTAGCGTTTGGGCGCTCGAGAGTTCCAATCCCTGGGAAGGGTTGCGCGGGAATGTAAAAATGTGTAACTTTACCTAGCGTTTGGGCGCTCGAGGTGGCCAATCCCTGGGAAAGGTTGCGCGGGAATGTAAAAATGTGTAACTTTGCCTAGCGTTTGGGCGCTCGAGGTGGCCAATCCCTGTGAAGGGTTGCGCCCAAACCGCAAAATGTGTAACTTTACCTAGCGTTTGGGCGCTCGAGGTGGCCAATCCCTGTGAAGGGTTGCATTCCCGATGGACGACGACGGTGCCACCCCTGGCTTTAGAAGAGAGATTAGATACCGAGATGTAGAGAGTAAGTCATAGAGGCATAGAGTGTCAGTCACAGTCATAGAGGCATAGAGTCAAGTAAGTAAGTAAGTAAGTAAGTAGAGTCAAGCAAGTAAGTAAGTAAGTATAGAGTAGAGGCATAGAGTCAAGTAAGTAAGTAAGTAAGTAGAGTCAAGTAAGTAAGTAAGTAAGTAAGTAAGTATAGAGTTCAAAAATATAGAGTTCAAATTCAGTAAGTAAGTATAGAGATAGCATAGAGTCACGTAAGAAAGTAATAAGTAACTAAGTAAGTTTCAAGTGCTATGAGCTTGAACAGAGATAGCATAGAGTCAAGTATCAAGTGTAGAGTCAAGTAAGGTATAGAGTCAAGTAAGTTGATTCTATGTCTGTCATCTATGTACTCATCTACCCGGCTCCTCACGGAAGAACCCTTCGCGATGCTTTCGGGAAAACAGCCAAGCACATGCGCTTATAGTGATAAAAACAGACTTTAACATCCCATTAACGATGCTTTACAAGCTTTGAAAGACTTCAGAACACACCAAAGAAGCTTTAAACATCTAAACAGGATTGTAAGAGGATAAATTATACAGGAATGAAAACAATTTTACCGATTTCGGCAGGGGGGGTGCCGATGGGGTCTCCCCCCGGGCCGTCGGGAACGACAGCCAAAGAGCCAGTAAACAAGATGAGACGGTTGATGATATAAACCCTGCATTACCTTACTCACCCTAGACTATAGGAATTATGGTATATTGATTATTATGGGTAATGCAGGATTTAGATCATCAGCCGTACCACAGTGATGCACCCGTATCTTGAATCAGTGTTCCCGCAAACAAACTAAGTTTCAGAAACACCTGAAAGTGTCCGAAAATCAAGGGTACCTTACCTTGGGGTCCTTTTAATAAGGATCCTACTGTTTTGGGTACTACACTAGGGTTCCTTCTTTGCGGAAACTCCCACATGTAAACAGGGTGCGCATTTATCAGAACTGATGCAGAACTCAGCAACTGCGGGCGGAACATCTCCCGCAAGTCGGCAACACGGGTCAAGGAGGAGGTGCTGATGGGCTCGTACCTGAGAAGAACTTTGTGTTAAGGTGGCAAACCCTTTGTCTCGCCGGCCTGCTTTAGGCCCATAAAGGGTGAAACGTGAATTTAAGGCTTAGGGGTTGGAAGGCGAAAGAGCTCAGGGTAGCTCGGAAGATCAGAAAACTACAGACTAGGCTCTTAAACGGAATCGGCACACACACTCGAAAAGTCGAAATGGGTGTAAGAATTTTCTCAATCGCCAGAAGAACGTTCCAGAGCCTCAAGAGTCCCTCTAGTAGGGTATATGCAGGAAACGATACAAAGATTGTTCACATACTTTAAGCCATATGTCCTGTATGAAGCGGGAGTCTCTGGGTGTGTAGCGACTGCATAGAAGTGGGTTGGGTTGGGCTTTAGGGTTGAGGGTTTGGAGGTTTAGGGCTTAGGGATTTAGAGCCCCACTCTCTGAAACCTAAAGACTCTACAAACCGAAACCCCCCAATCCTAAAGCCTGAACCCCCCAAAACCCTATTGCCTTGCCCCGTAATGCTTCGTCTAGCAGCTGCTCGCCATCGAGCTTTCGGAAGTTCACAGTGATTGTTCCTGGTCCGATGTCGGAACCGTCAGGCTTTCGTAGGAGGAAAGTTCGGACGCGTGTTTGGAACGCAAAGCTTGGAGGATCGGGTTTAGCCCTAAACCCGAAGTCCTTAAATGGAGGGTTTTGAGTTTCGGATTTCCAAATTCTTGGCTCCGCAGGACACAGAAACCGAGGGTTTCGAACCCCCTTTCCCCAAGAACGGGCAGAATGAGAAAACTATAACCCGTCCTGGAACACTACATGCAAGAAAACACTGTGGGTTTACCCAGAGACTCCAAAACCCCTTAATTAAGGAATATACCTTAAATCATATAAGGGGTCCTATTATAATTTAAGGTCTATTCCTTAATTAAGGGGTTTTGGAGGCTCTGGGTACTTGGAGGATCATGGGACTTAGAAACTAAGGTTATAAGTACCTTAATTGGGGTTGCAAGTAAGTATAAGTATAGTTACCCTAATAATAACCTTAGTTACTAAGTCCCATGATCCTTTAAGTAGGGTTTAGGGCTCCGAGTCTGAGGTCTAATTCTCGTTGAACTTGCGTCTGCCGCATATTACGCACATACTTAAAGGATCATGGGACTTAGTAAGGTTCCTTAAAGGGCTCCTTAAAGGGATCTATAGAGTTCCTTATAAAGGGATCTATAGGTCCCAATTAAGGTACCTATAACCTTAGTTTCTAAGTCCCATGACCCTCCAAGTAGCGGCCCAAGGAGCATAAACGCATGAATGATATCGGGAGCCCATGCTGAGATGTTCCGAAAATTAGGGGCGCCCCATTTTGGGGTTCTGATAATAAGGATCCTCCGGATCCTCCTAGTCAGTACTATTGAGGGTACTATATTAGGGTCCCCTAGTTTCGGAAACTCTCTTTTGTGTGCTCCTAAACCCTAAACCCACGAAGTCATGCAAGGCTCGTTCTCGGCCGTGTTGCACCAACTCCTGGGAGAGGGAAGTGTCGAATATACGGGTCTTCATAATTAGAAATCTCTTGTGGGGGGCGTTCCTGATTATAACTCTAGTTAATGGGCCCCGAAAACCTATTCTAATTATTCAGGCCCCTATATTAGGATTCGCAGCTGAACATGACCATGAGGCTGTCTGCAAAAACGTCTCAGCTTGTTCTGCAACAGGAATAGCACGAAGGGCTACAATCTGCACCCGCGTCTGCCCAATGTCACTCAGCGAGACATACTTAGCTGCACAGTGCAGCTTTCGGTCCAAACCACGGTAGCCGGTAGGTCCTGGTTACAGGGAATGTGCAATGTTCTCAGGAGTCTCTCCTGAATTAGGAAAATGTAAGAAAACCCTAAACCCTAAACCGTGGCTTGGGCACTTCTACAGTGCTGAATGCTCTCCTGCTGGCGGCCCTACAGAGCTCGCCGCCATCCAATCAGGCAGTTGCGTGCAAGCAACAGCGAATGCTTCAAGGGGTCCTTCATGGGTTACTGTAAGAGATCTATGAGGGTACAATACTACAGGGGCCTTAATAATTAGACTAGTGTTCCGTTAAAGTGGCCTGAAGACCGCCAGCATCAGCTAGTTTAGGGTTTAGGGTTTATTTGGGGATGGTAGCACTACTGTGAGAAGAGCATCACCATAAGCAGCAGCATCAGCACCACAGTTGGACTATCCTCATCCTCATGATCACTAACAACAGCATCACAACCATCAGCATCATCATGGCCGTAATCCACTAGAGTCTTCAACGTCACCCCAATCATCATCCCCAAACCCAGAACCCTAAACCTTGAATGCATCATCACCATCATCAGCATCACCGCCCAAGACCAGACTTTTACCCCACTCCCTCAGCCTCAGTCTCCAGACACTGGGGTCAGGCAAAAAAACCCAGGCAAATACCAAAAGCCTCTGACCAATCATAAGACTGATCGCATCTTACTGACGGTGTAGGGTTTAGGGTTTAGGGACTAAGCTTGAATACATAACATCTACACATTCTTGGCACTTGAAACCGAAATTGATGCCAAGCTATGTGGCTAGGAACGAGCAACCCAAACATACACTCGCCCAAACTCTTAATCAGCCCCGCTTCAACTCACGAAACCCTACATCCTAATCCCTAAACCCCAAACCGTTACCAACAGCACAACCCGAGTCCTCTTGGGCGGCACGCCAAAAACCCGTTTCTCGGAGATGTTTATCAAAAGTAGCAGAGCCCAAAAACCGTTTAGGGTCTTAAGGGGTCTGGGGTTTAAAAATTTCGGTGTTAATATAGGGCTTAGGATTCAGGGCATACCTTAACCCCAAGTAGCCTATCTTTGTGAAGGACTTATATATGAACATCCTATTACGGAGCTTCCTTGGGCCCAGGTCCAAATCAAAAGCACCTGCACATACGAAACCCGTAGCAGCCAAAATTCCCGCGCTGTCGCGATGAGTGTCGCCATGAGTGCATCGTCCTGGAAGAAACCAGGAATACCTAGGGTTCCTTTAAGGGATCTATAAGGGATCTCTAGGGTGTAGGGTTTAGGGACTCCAATATCTCTTATTTCGGAATAAAACCTAATTCATATTAGGAATCCTACTATAATTTAAGGTATATTCCCTAATTGGGGCGGATATTGGAGTCTCTGGCCAAGCAGCTACGCATAGGAGTGCAACTACCTTGCAGTTTTGGGGTTAAGGGTTTAGGGTCCTGACGGGCTTGAAACTTGGATGTGGCAGCCAAGGGTGCAGGGACTTCGAGTTTATTCATTCAGAATTGACCTGGCACGGTAGTAAGTAGTAGAGCACCATTCTCCGTCTACAGGTTACCCTACATATCACCCCGTTCCCCTGTGTGGTGGATTTACTGACTAATGAACTATATCTTATCATATGTCGTCTTCTCAAACATGAAGTTCGGGGTCAGGAGTAAGGAATCTGCCATACCCTAGACCCCAAACCCTAAACCCCGAACCCTAAACCTCCACCCAGGACCATCGCTTTGAGGCTTCGGTGTGGATTGAAACTTCGGACCTTCCGTTCAAAGCTTGGGGTTTCAAGGGGTGTAGGGTTCCTCTGAGGATGCTATAAGGGTTCCTATAGGGTTTGGGGTTTAGGGGCAGGGTTTAGGGTTTGGGCTTGAGGGCTTAGGGATTTGGGGTGGGTCTAGGGTTTAGCTTCACGGGTTGGGTTTGAGGGTTTTAGGTTTTCAAATTTTAATTTTACGGGATGAAGGATTGCAGGATGAAGATGAAGGGTCGAAACGCAAGGTCTTGCAGATTAACGAATTACTGGTTTAGGACTTCGGAGAGTACCCCAACCCCAAATAACATAGCTATTCAAGGACTCATGTCAGGAAATCACAATAAGGAGTCCTGAAAAGTAGATTTTAGAGAGTGCAACTAAGGCGAATGACCACAGCTCAAGATGAGAACATCCCTCAATGGAATCCTCATAAGTCACCTACATACATTGGGAACCTTTAAACGGAACCTTCAATGGATGACAAAGACACGGCCTCCATCTCTGCGGAGGCACAGGTGGACTGGCCGAGCTTTGGCGGCCACAGGAGGTCAAGATCAAAAAGCTTGGGCCATTGCCGTGGGGTTTTGGGTCCAGGGTTTTCATACGTGGGGTTTCGGATTTAGGGGTTTAAGAGTTTCAGTTTAAGGTCTAGGGCTTTCAGGGTTTCCAGAGTTATTCATGGGTTCTGCAAGGACTTTGGACCTGAGCTTCCAGCATATCGCTTCTGGGTTGAAGGCCGCGGGGAAGAGCCCCAAAAAACGCTGCTTCTGTTGATGATATAAACCCTGCATTACCTTAAGGACCCTAAACTATGGGGATTAAGGTATATTCCGTATTATGGGTCATGCAGGATTTTTATGATCAACCGTTAGTGCAAGGTTGAGGTTGAACATGACAAGTCGACGTGAAACCCACAGACCCCCTCTACTTGGAGGTTCATGGGTAGTCATAAGAGGGACATAAGTCCCCTATTATGGGTTAGCACTCTAGTTATCCTACTCATAACCCTACTTAGAACTAACCATGAACCTCCAAGTCGGATAAAAGGACCCGACATAATAGGATCCCCATCCTCGGAAATCTGGTTCAAAAGGATCCGAAATAATAGGACCCCCATTATGAATACCCTACACCCGAAAACCCTCAAAAGCCTAAAACCCTAAACCCTGAAACCCTGAAGCCGTCAAAACCCTAAAAGCCGTAAAAACCCTAGAATCCCACAACCCCTAAACCCCTCAACCCCTGAACCCCTGAACCCCTAAACCCTAAACAGTAAAGACCCCTTCCAGATCCCTTTTAAGGAACCCTTAAGGATCCCTTGAGAAGCCCTAAAAATCCCTGTAAACTCCGAAATCCGCAAGTCACAGGAGATCCATCTTCTTAGCCCTCAAGATTCGACTCTTCCCTTGGATAAACCCCCCGTTTCTTTGAGGCCTAGGATATAAGGGTTTTATGAGGCCTTATGGGTTTTTGGATTTGGGTAGTTGTCAAAATTATGGTCCCATTTTGGGTACCCTAAATAGTAAGTGCCGCATTATAAGAAGGACCCAAAAAGGGACCCTAATTTTGACAACACCCATTTAGGGTTTGAGGTTTCAGTAGGGTTTGGGGTTTAGGGCCTATGATAATCCCTTGAAATCCCTTAGGGTTGAGAGTGTTATTAGGAGGGTTTAGGGTTTAGGGTTTAGGGTTTAGGGTTTAGGGTGTTATTAGGGTTTATGGGGGTTTTTGGTGGGTTTAGGAGTTTCGGCTTTAGGGTTTAGGGCTCAAAGGTTCGAACATGAGGATCCCTTGTAAAGCCAAGGTCTACGGTACTTCTGCACAACACCCGATCGTCATTCCTAAACCCTAAACCCTAGGGTTTAGGGTTTAGGGTTTAGGGTTTAGGACCCTAAACCCTAAACCCTAAACCCTGCAAACAGCCACTTTCTCGTTCCTGAAGTGCAAAGCCTCCATCTTCGGCTGGCGGCGAAGTTCAAGTAAGGCCACAAGTCGTAGAAGCTCAAAGGCTTTGCAGCTTCACAGAAGCTGAGGCGACATAAGCCTGAAGAGCTCTTATGCTTCCTTTGGGCCAGGCTGCTGTGGAAGTGTCTGAACAGCCCCGAACTGGCCGAAACAATTTCCAGTTCATGGCTTTAGTGTTCAGGAACAGGTAGTCTGCATCGTCATGCAGCATCTATGCTGCTTGTGCCCTGCGTTCTGCGCCGTGGCTGGGAATGTGTCATTATGACCAATTGCCCCATCCACGTTTTTGTCGGTCGCATGGGATCACAAAACTCTTGCAGCAGCTAGGCCGCTCCGGTCCGGACCGTCCAAGCTTGCCAAGCACTGCAAACCAGTTGCTCTTGGAATCTATCCGGGTCGTCGCCTGAAACCCAAGTCCAACGACTGTGTCGCGGCAGCAAAACCGGCACTAGTACTAAACTGGTATCATGCTCACAAAGCATGAGCACAGGCATCACCAACTTCGAAGACGGGCGGAAAGCTAAGGACAGGCAAAGACGTTCTTGGTCTGCCCCTGGCAGACGGGCGTTGCTCACTGCACGGATTTGTCGCCTAAACCGAGCGGTTTGAAGTTCCTTTCAACCTTTTCTAACAACTCAGAAGGTCGAGGAAGGGCCAGTTACAGCTCCAAGTCCTCTGTAAGGTTTGAGCGCGTTCTTGCGGAGATATTGCCTTGGATCTGGCCTCCCATGAGAGTTTGTATTTGCAACGACTTTGGCTTCAGGAACTCAGCCCCAAACTCTGTAAAGAAGGTGCCTATCGACAAAAATACTAGAGAGATGGTGACCTGAAGGGTGCACTGAAACAGTGACTACGTGCCGCCCTGGACCCTAAACCCTCAAGATACAAACCTACACCAGCGAGGCCGAATATGAGAGCCCGGGCTCTTGAAAATGCGGAATGGCCACAGCTAACCAGTGGTTTTGGGGTTCCCTTGGCTCTTTAGCTCCTTATTTAATAGGGGTTCTCATCATCCCTGGCTCCTTCCCCGATGCACGTCTCAGGCATCACCTCATCGGCTCATCCCAACCCAACTTCGGAACCTGAGCCTGAAAGCTTCGGCGTCGTAGCCTACAAGATCATTGGCCCGAAGGCTGGCACTGGCTTAGGATTTAGGGTTTTTTTTTTTTTAAGGGCCCCTTTTCGATCAGCATGAAGCGTCTCAAGGGGTTTAGGTTTGATGGCGGGCGCTTGCGGGAAATCGTGTGTCAGAAAGCTGAAAAAGTCGAGCCAGGCGACGGCAGTCCAAATGCACGCGGAGGCTTCCGGCCAGCCCCAACCGATGCACCAGGAAACTGCTTTTGCTTATATGGGAGTTTCCAAAAATAGTAGGATCCTTATTATATGGACCCCCAAATAAGGTACCCCCATTGTCGGAAACTCCCATATATGCAGTCCAGAGAAAGGAGCACCTCAGACTTCTTGCGGCTTTGGCCCTTTGCTGTTTCGGCCCGCAACCCTCAAAAGCCTAACCTTGAGGTTCACTTTTCTCGTTGATGGCCGGCAGGAGGTCAGGCACTCAAGCCTACCAGCAGTCTAGAATCTTTTCGGCCCTTCGGAAAGCTGTCCTCAGCTGCCCTGACCTAAAACGCTAAGCCTTGGTCTATCCGCCGACATGAAGCCGACCCTGGGATTTGAAATTTGTTCTGTGGGTGGGCAGCCTGGGGCTTGCGGAAGGTGAAGAAGGCTAGGATGCACCAATACTGAGCGGAGTAAGCTAGGTGCCGAACTGTGCACAGCTAGGATTCCAGAGCACATCCACGAGGGAAGCTGATACTTTTTCAAAAGGGGTCACCTTTACGCAGTGCAGAGAACTGTTGTCCGGTAGGTATGTGACAGATGCACCCTAAACCCTAAACGCAAGGCCTGGTAGGACGAAACTTGTAGCCGTCAGCAACTGCAGATCGGTACAAGTTGCATGGAGCCAGGGTTGGCTTGCGCCGGTTCCTTCCATAGAGCACCACTTCGCAGGTGGCAAGGAGCAAACATGGAGAATCACTCCGAAGAGATGTGCCTCAAGTGATGATTCAGCGAAGCTCTACGACTCAACGTAGCTCGAACTCTCAAGCCTAGCATAGCCTCCGGCTCAATGCGGCCCTGCAGACGCGCCCTGCAGCACATCTTCGGCGGGTCCTCTCACTTCAACACTTACTGGCTCTTGCTCCAAAGCGCCTGCGTGTCAGAGGCGGCGCATGTGGTGAGTGAAAGATCCGTGCACCCTCCATGGATGGCATCGGCTTGCATCCGAAGAATCCTCACCGTGTCACTTTAGCTCACACGAGCGCACATGTTCGGCAAGCACATGCCTCTAAAACATGCCTGCAACCTTTCGTTTCACAGCCCAAAGTCTACGGTACCAGTGGCGAGGACCTCGACAACATTCGTTGCAGTAACACCTACATGTCTTGACATCTACGAGCAGCTCCAAGATCTGTGCTGACAGTCGCGCAGCGTGCAGCACACGGCCGAGAGCTCCTGACCAAGTTGCACCAAAGGTACTGGCTTTGAAACTTGCGCAGGGCGTAGGCGTATGGCGGGCCAGCATGGTCGCATGGCTTTCTTGGCTGCACATCACCTCCCAGACCTCCCTCTAGCTCCTCTTGCTGCGCACAGCCTGGCACGAAGTTCAATCAAGCGGTGTAGGCGTGGGCTACTGCATCGGCGAGAAGCTGCCGCTGACGACCCGGAGAAAGACCGATAATTAGGGATCAAGAACTGGTGTTCTGGTGACCTGAAACAACGGCATCGCAGCAGCGCACCAAGCTGCAATGTCTGTCTGCTGCACGGTAGGACTAGCTCCGCTTCGCGCACACGCGAACCAACGGTAATGGCCGTCAACATCTGTACATCGGTACAAACTGCATTCAGAGTAGTTTGGCCGTCGCCCGCACCTTCCATAGAGCACAACTTCACAGGTGGCAAGGAGCAAACATGGAGAATCTCTCCGAAGAGATGTGCCTCAAGTGATGATTCAGCGAAACTCTACGACTCAACGTAGCTCGAACTCTCAAGCCTAGCATAGCCTCCGGCTCAATGCTGCCCTGCAGACGCGCCCTGCAGCACATCTTCGGCGGGTCCTCTCACTTCAACACTTACTGGCTCTTGCTCCAAAGCGCCTGCGTGTCAGAGGCGGCGCATGTCGTGAGTGAAAGATCCGTGCACCCTCCATGGATAGCATTGGCTTGCATTCGAAGAATCCTCACCGTGTCACTTTTAGCTCACACGAGCGCACGTGTTCGGCAAGCACATGCCTTTAAAACATGCCTGCAACCTTTCGTTTCACAGCCCAAAGTCTACGGTACCAATGGCGACGGCCTCGACAACATCCATTGCGGTAACACCTACATGTCTTGACATTTACGAGCAGCTCCAAGATCTGTGCCTAATCTGTGCTGACAGTCGCGCAGCGTGAAGCACACGGCCGAGAGCTCCTGACCAAGTTGCACCAAAGGTACTGGCTTTGAAACTTCCGCAGGGCGTAGGCGTATGGCGGAC